TTTTTTTTTCTCAACCTATTCGTTTAATATCTTCATATGATACAATTAAAGAAAATAAGCGGGTACTATGATGAGTGCCATCTGTGTTCAATTATAATTGGCATTTAAAATTCAATAGAGGCTTTACCAATGAAACGGTAAATATGATGACTAGAAGGATTCTAAGTTGCAAGAATCGATATTTGACATAACAAAAAAAAGAGAAGATGATGGACGCCAACAGAGCTGAAATGGAACTTGAAAGTACAAAATTGCGTAGACAATTGACTGCATTTCAAGTATTAAAAAATTTTAATTTGATTTTTATTTTTCATTAAAAATTTCATTATAGTCTGAATTAGAAGCTCTACGAACAAAAGTTCAAAAATTAACTGATGAAAATGATTCTTTACGACGTGAATTACGACGTAGCGTTGAAGAACGTTCATCAGGCATTCATCCAGATACTTTTTTAAATATAAATAATGATTCTATTATTGAAATACGAAAAAAACAATTAGAATTATTAGAACAAGAAAAAGAAGAAGCAATGAATTTATATGAACAAAGTAGACAAATAATTATTAAACTTGAAGAAAAAATCGAAGATTTAGAACATCCATTAAAACCACATTTAATTAGACTTGATATGGAAACTAAACAAGTAAATATTTTTGCAATATGATCTTTTGAACAAACAAAAGAAAAAAAAAAAGATAGTTTCATGTATCATATTTATTTAGGCACAAGAAGAACATGCTCGAGCTGAAGTACAACTTATACAAGAAATAAATATGATGCGTGAAGAACTTACGTATGAGATTTAAATAGTTCATTTGTTTTTTTTTAATTCATTTATTCTTCTAGAAAACGAAGTAGAGAATTAGTGAATTGTCAATTACATGTCAAAGAATTAGAACGACAAAATGAAATACTTCAATCTGAAGTTTATCAAAAAGTATAGACCGAAAAAAAAACAAAAGATATTTTTCATTGATGAAAATTATTTTTATATGTTTTAGCAAGATGATTTGCGTAATTATTTAAAAAAAGAAATGGGATATGATGGAACTTTTGTTGCATTTCAAAGTTCAATTGATGCACTTGAAGTTAGGCAAGTACAAAAATTACAATAGTCTTCATCGAATATATCGAAATTATGTTCATATCCAATTGTCAATTATTATATTAACCCTAACACGATGACCGTTAGGACTACTACTTGTTGTTTACCTGCGATTCATGCAGATCCTATAGTATACACGAAGTTATGGTTTGGATACTGCAATCAAAAATGGCAGCATTCACACCATCTGACACTAGAACTATTCAAATCCAAAATTTTAAAATTCGGTCTAACCATACTTTGATATTTTTAATGAAATTTTCTAATCAGAATAGGATAGCCGTCCCGATGACACTTTTTTTTTTGTATTCGGTGACTAATGCGTCATACACGTTTCTTCGACAAGTTGTCTGAGAAATGTGTAGGATAGAGTCCATAGGGTTCAAAATTTTCAGACCCGGACTCGGTCGCGTTTGAGATTAACCCAATGGGTTTCACTCATCATCCACACCCTTGGATACTGAGTCTTTTTAAATTAATTATTGAGCTTTTCAAACTATTTGCCGCGCTAAAACTAATTTTTTTTACTGAGCAAAAACTATTGAACATGTAATAAAAGACATGCTGATCAATTAAATACAAGTCAAGAAGTCTCACTGGGGTTTCAGCGAACATCAAGTAGTCTACAAGCATTCACATTTACTTCTGATTAGTTTACTCACATAAATAATAATTGTACTTAATTGGCAGGTAGTATCCGTATACTTTAGTAGTCTTCACTAGAACATTTCTGTAAGATGAGCAGTTTTATGTGATCCGAGCGAATCTTCAGATGATCGTGTTAGGATTCCACATAGAATTTTTATTTCTAACTATATGAAATTTTGATTTTTATTAGACTTCAACAAGCTGTAAAAGAAAGAGAAAATGCTCTACAACAACGAGATGATATGGAATCAAAATTAAGAGATTTAACACAACAAAAGTAAATCTTATATGATTATTATCATACATGATCAATATTTATTTATTTTTTAAAATCTAGTCGTTCTCTACAAGAAAAACTTGCTGAAGCAATAGATCAATTACAACGACATGTTCAACTTCATAATACAATCGATCATACACGTGATGATGGTCATGATCGATTGGAACATGAACGAATGCATCGAACAATTGATGAACTTATAGAACAAGCAGCTGTTAAAACACGCAATGCTGTATGAAAATCTTTAATAATTTTATTTTATTTTATTTTATTTTTTTTGTATTTGAATATATTTTTATTTTAAAAACAAAACGTTAGGTTGAAGATGTACGACAACAATATAATGAGAATTTAGGAAGAATTATGGAAGAATATAATAATATGGAAACGGTATAAAAATAAAAATAATATTTTATAATCAATATAAATCTATTTTCTTAGGCATTAAATCAAAAACAAATTGAATTTGATAAATGTTTAAGAGCTAAACGATCTGTTGATGATGAATTAGAAAAGGTTATATTAAATTAACAAAAAATAAAAATTTTTATTCTTCAATAAAATTCATTTTCTTTTTTCATCTAATAGATTTTACAAGAACGACGTCTTAATTTAGAAAAAAGTGCATTAGATAATGAAGATTTAACTAAACGATGTGTACAAGCTGAACGTGAACGAGATGAAATACAATTAAAATTTGAACAAAATCAACAAGCATATAAAATGCTTCAACAATCATATGAAGCTAAAAAAAAAAGTCATGAACATAAACAAAAAGAATTAGTGGAACGATCACAAAAATTAACAAATGATCTTGATAAAATGACTCGTGATTATACATCAGCATTTAATGACTTGAATGACTTAAAAAAAAAATTATCAATAACACAAAATGAACAAACATCATTACATAGACGAATGGCTGAATCAGTAAAAACAAAAAAGATTTTATATTTAAGAATTCTTTTTTTCTTTTTTTGTTTTTTAATATTTAAGGTTAGAAGACATGAAGAAAAAATAATTGAAAAAGAAAAAGAATGTTTAGTACGTTTAACACAAAGAGATGATGTTAATAGAATAACATTTAATGAATTACGTAATTTAGTTAATCAACAACAACGAATGCTTGTTAAGTAAGACGAAATAAAAAAGATTTTTTCACTCTTTTTGAATATATATTCTAAACTTTCATTTGGAGATAAGATTTGCATGGAAACATCCAAGAAGATATCATAAAATACACTATTCGAAAAAAAATTAATGATCAAAAGCACTTTTTCTCGAACAAAATTTACTCTTGCATGATAGATTTTGAAAATTTTTGTATTTTTAAAAGCAATTTTTTTTTATCAATGCCGGTTTCCATAGAAACATTCTCTTTAATGAAAATGCATAGATGAGATTTCACTTATTGTAATATTTTTTATTTGTACAGAATTCAATGCTTTATAATAATGTTGAGTTGAATCTATCACAAGAAACAAACTAAAGATTAAACACATATTCGAAAATGAGCAAATATTTTCTGTCAAAACTTTTACGCTATTGATTATTATCAATTAATCGACTTTTTTGTTTATCTTAGATATAAAGAAGAATGTCATACAATAGCTAGTCAAAGTGAAACAACAATAACTGAATTAAAACAAAAAGTTGATAATTTACGTTCACGTAATGAACAATTACAATCTGAAATTGTTGATGTTAAACGAAAAGAAGCTGAAGTTTGTTAAATTATTAATTTTTTAATATTTATTAGAAAAGTTTATATTTATTTAGATGGATCGAATACTTTCAAAAAATACAAATCGTATGAAATTATTAGAAAGACGTTTACATGATGCAGAAGAACAAGCTATTGAAGCATCAAGACGAGTATGAAATGATTATAGTTTAATTTTTATTTATGTAATAGAAATCGAAACAAACACAAAGACATTGTCGAGATTTGAATAGATTTAAAATAGTGTTCGGTATCCAGCTCGGAGCATGAGTCCGGGTACAAACCTACCGGATCCGACTGGACTATTAATAAGATCTCTATGTTTGAAAATATTTTTACTATTTCAAACTGCTATTTATATAAAAGCAGGCTTGAGGGTTTTTACTGATGATGATTTGTTTCAGTCAAGTACTGGTTACAGCTATTCATGTAAGACATTAGGCTAAAATGAATTTATTCATCGGTGTTAGTCATATTTTGAGATTCTTAGTTTTATGATTTTTTTTGAATTTTGACCGAAACTTTGAATAGAATATCATTCCTATGATTAGATTGCTAAACAATTAGTACGTGATCGATTCGCCATAAAACAAGGTGATCGTTATTCAGATTCAACAATGCGGTAATATGATTATGATTTATTTTGTTCTCAGACTAAAAAATATTTTCATTCTATATGTTTTTTTTTTCTTGTCTAGACCCAATCATTCAACTTCATTACTTAATTTAACAGCACTTCAACCACGAACTAGGCCTTCAACAGCAAGAACCGATACTACTGAACATCTTTCCGATGACAAATAATATTTGTGCAATTATTTTATTATAATCAGGTGTGAAGAAAAATGATTGAATTTTTTTCATTCATATTTTAAACAGATATAGAAAGAAAGTGAACAAGTTTTGTTAGAGTTTTTTTTTATCCTAGATGTAAGTCTGTGTGTGTTTATTATCGGAAATAAAATAAAGACAGAGAAAGAAAATTTATTTTTTCTTTGACATATACAATTAAACATAAATATGATCATCATAAAGAACTTTATTAGATATATATATATCTAAAATAATTAAGAGATCGTTTTGTTACTAATGAACATGAACACTCATACATTAGTTGTATATATTGCATTCTTTTATTTTCATCGTTACATTATTTTAATAAAGCAATAATTAAGAATGTGTATATATATTAAGGATGTTTTCTTTTTTTTTCTTTTTATATGAAAGACATTAATTTAAAAACAAAAAGAAACGAAGAAGAAGAAGAAGAAGATGAGATCATGATGGAATGAAATCAAGTCACTGTTACAATTTAAAATAGACATTAACAAAAAGAAGAAAATCTAACAAGAAAATTTTGAAGAACAAGAAAATACATTTGATTTTTCTTTTTTCAAGTTTCTTCTGTAGGATTAAATGATATAGTAGTATCAATCGGTAGGATTTGTTTTGTATAACCATTCGTTTCAATTGATTTTGATTCTTCATCATCATGATCATCAACATTTTGTAACATAACATATTCAATATTTGCATGTTCTTGTCTTGATGTTAAACGTGAATGAAATAGTTGTCGAAGACCAAGTATAATAAAACACATTATAATACTAATAAAAAATATAATTAATCCAATAATAATAAATATTTGATGAGAATCATTTAATTCATAGAATTTATTACGCATTACATTAATTGATGAACTAAACCAATTATTTATATATACCGACGATGGTGTTACAAGTGGATGAAGACAAAAACCTTTGTAAAAAAAAAAAGAAAAAATTTTGTTTTTGGATTAAACTTCTTTCTTACCATCCCAAGATGATGGACATTGACAACAATCATTCGTTGTTATATTTGTTGTACAACAATATAAACATCGATGTGTTAATGTATCAAGTGCCATTGGATATTTACATTGACGACAGTATGAACCTGGACTTAAACATTCAAGACAATTGTTTGTACATATTTTGCATTTCTTAAAAAA